TCTTCCACTCCTTGTTGTTATGGCCATGGAATGTCCCGTATTAATCCCACCCTTCGGGTTCACCACCATATCACTAGGTAGTTCCCCCTTAGGACTAGTGATTAAAGCTTGCGAGATTTGCCCCAATTGAACTTCCAAATTACGGATTAAAGTGTTGTGAGAGGCTAATTGAGTATCAGAGTCTGTATTTTTCTCCATCATTTGTTTGAACATATTTTTAATCTGTCTCATCTCATTGTTGGAAGAACTAGAACCTTGAGACGGATAAGGAGGCGGGTTGTTTGGTTGTTGATATATCGGGGGCCTTTGAGAGCCCGGCCCAGCCCCTGATTCCATTGGTTACCGTTCCAACCCCCTTGGTTGTTGCCTACCCAATATCCTTGATTGTTGCCACCCCAATTACCATAGGTTCCTTGATTGTTCCAATTGCCTTGATTATTGTTATTGTTCCAATTACCTTGATTGTTGGTACCACCACTCCAATTGCCTTGGTAGTTTTGATTGTTCTAGTTTTCTTGATTTCCTTGAGATCACCATTGTTGATTCGGGCCTTGAGAGTTGTTCCTTTGCCCTTGGTAATTATTCACATATTGCACTTCTTCCTCTTGCTCATTATATGATTCATCATGGTCGAACCCACTATCATCTTACAAAAATTGTTCTACACGATTGTGCATTTGTTGACCCTTTTTGCCTTCGCTTGTTAACCATCATATTGACACCTTCCATTGCATTTACTTGCTTAGGACCTTGAACCTATTGAAGTTGAGCTTTGGCTAATTGATTCATTATAGTGGTCAACTCGGCAATTTCTTGCACATGATCGTGCAATTCTTTGTGTAGGTGAATCACATTTGGATAACCTTGAGGAACATTTGCTCTACTCTGCCATGCCGATGAGGTATCCGCCATTTCATCTAAGATTTTGTAAGCTTCGGCATATGGTGTTGTCATAAAATTTTCACCGGCAAGTTGGTTTACCATGCATTGATTGGTAGTATTGATCCCCCTGTAGAAGGTTTGTTGAATCATAACCTCGGCCATGTCATTATTCGGGAACTCTTTCACCATAGTGTGGTACCTCTCCCATAACTCGTGAAACGGCTCATTGGATTCTTGTTTGAATGCTAGAATCTCGTATCTAAGAGTAGCCATATGCCTGGAAGAAAAGAACTTGGCAATTAAGTTTTACGCCAATTCATCTCATGTATGGATAGAATGGTTTGGCAATCTTTCTAACCAGTCCAAGGCTTTCNTCCAAACGTATGTTTCCGAGAGGATCATTATTGAGAGCTATTTTTTTATGTACCTACAATCGATTCACAAAACGGTTAGTAACCCGGAAGTAAAATAAGACAAGCCATACACAAAACCAAATATATAGCTAAATCGTTTTTAGCTCTCCAAAAACGGTGCCAAAAATTTATGTCGACCAAACTCACACCACTAATTTAGGTTGCGAGGTGGTCGATACAATAATAAAAACCCAACGCGAGTCGGGGTCGATTCCACAGGGAGCTTGATGTGAGATTAGGTATATACCTAGTGTGAATGTATGACGTGCCTAATATTACACTTCCACATTTTCATTTATTGTTTCTACTTCTAATTTTACGCTAAGGTTTGTAATTGTAAAGCTAAGAGACAATATTTTTGGTTGCTTTTCAAGTTATAAAAGATCTAGGGTTGCGACTTCTGCCTAGTTGGTTACCTAACAGATTTAGAGCTTTAGGGCATGTTTGGTTGATTGGGATACAATATAGCAATCACACGTAACTACTCACTCTATACCTCTCGGTAGTTTGAGTGATTTTGCCCAATTCAGCTTTCTCAAGTCCAAATGGGTATCTCACGAAACAAGTGATAAATGCTCAAGTCGGGTCTTACTATCTCTAGATTCGACCCTTTAATTGGGCTATCAATTTTTTGAGTTCACCCCAATTTCTTGTTAGCTAAGTTTTCCTAGACTTAATCTCACTTTCTCAAGTATAGACTAAGTCAATTAGGCATGAATCAATGTTTGCAACCGTAAATTCTCAAATTCAAGCAAGAACTAGCCTAAAATTCATATACTCAATCACAAATAAGCCCTAAATCAATCACCCATTAAGTACCCATACTAGGGTTGGGTCATAATCCTAACTAAGGGTTTAGCTACTCACGGACAATAAAGAAATTAAAGAAGACACTAAGATAAAATGCATAATAATTGATTAAGGAAAGAAAATCTATTGTTTAAATGCTAAACTAGTACAAAGTTGCCCAATACAGTAAATAAAAACGTCTCTAAATGTTCAGGTGCACAAAACTTTTTCTAAAAATGACAAAAAGATCTATTTATATCCAGCTGAAAATATCTGACAAAATTGCCCCTACGAAGGTTGTGCGGCCGCACAATTCTGTGTGTTGTCCGCACTTTGAGTCAGGCTGGTGGGTATGGCTTTCTGCGGTCGCACAAAAGTGAGATGCGGCCGTACTTCATCTAATTGTGCGGACCGCACAATTCTGAGTGCGGCCGCACCCTTGCTCTTGGACTGGATTAGGGCTTCACTCTGCGGACCGCACATTTATGAGTGCGGCCGCATTTTGGCATCCTGCGACTGCACAATAATAATGCAGTCCGTATATCTTCAAGCTCCCAAAACTAAAGGTCTCTGAATCTAGTCTTCCGCGGTCACACAATAATTGTGCGGCCCGCATTCTGTGATCTATTAGTTCATCTTCAGAGTTTGCGGCCGCATACAGTATTGTGTGGTCCGCACTGTAGCCCTTTTTGCCTTGTTTTGGTTCTTGTCCAATTTTACTCCTTTTTGAGTTGATTTTTACTTCTTTGGCTCGTTTCCCAATATTCCTGCAAGAAAGCACATTTCATTAGTTCCCGGGAATACCTTTAAGCATTTTCGAGCTAAAACGTATGTAGAAGAGAGCAAATAAGCGGTCAAAATCTCTACTTATCACAACCTTAATGGACTTCTCTCATAGTGTCTTGAATTTTGGATTTAACCCAAATTTCATACGTGTTTTATCTGTTAAAATTTTGATGTTTACAAATGTCCCCTAATTCAAGACTTGTCATGGCGCAGACTTACAAGATAGTTGTAAATGAGGCTTGATGTACAAGCAAATAAGACATCATATTTTTTCATCGTGAGAGAAGAGATGATGCATATTTGATCCCACTAGGTGTGCCAATTTGTTTACAATAAATTTTAGCATACGAAAAATAAACTATAATCACACAATATAGTAAACTTAAATAACGAATTGTTAGTATAATTCTGTTTGTTCCCTTGATATGCATATATTAGATCTCCATGAGAGGATTTTGTGGATCTTCTTAAAATATTTGATTATCAAGATGTATCCGATCACATCTTAATATCTTTAATATTCTAAGAGATCATTAAAATGCCTTCTTAAGTAAATATGTACCCTTTTTTATAGACGTGAGCTATGATTTAGAGTAGAATAGCCTTCGAGCAACCTTGATGGGCCTTAGAGTAGCGTAGCCTCCAAACAACCTTAATTGACTCTTCTTGTACTGTCTTGAATTTAGAAAATAACCCAAATTTTATATGGGTTTGATCCGATAAAATTTTAATGTCTACAAAGTCATTAAAGTGGAGTAATATTTAGTTGTAGTTGGGATAGTGTATAATTTAGGTAAATCAAATAAAACACGATATAATATTCAGACTAAGAAAATGCCATTTAATTGTAGTGCTTGGATGTATTTTCTTCCTTTGTGTGTCTATATTTTCATAGGTCTCCTCAGCTAGATAGAGGTCGTCCTAGATGAGGACATATCAGTAGAGGACAAGCTCGTTGTTATGCTTTCCCTAATAGACCTGAGGTAGAGGCATCTGATGCAATCATTACATGTATTGTCTCAGTCTAAAGATGTTTTGGCACTATTTAATCTGATTCTAATTATTCGTATGTGTCATCTTATTTTGCATCATATTTGGATATGTCTCGTGATTTTTTGGATATTTCAGTTTATGTGTTTACACCTGTTGGAGATTATATATGCTTAAAAAATATTTTGCATTTTTTTACTTTATAATAAAATTTATTTGTTGTATCGGTAAGTCTTTAATATAGATTAAAAAGACAAAAAGTATCATAATTTTTTTTAAAAAAAAGACAGATTGAAAACTTAGAGAGTAAAATAGATATTTGACCACCAAAAGTTTGAAAAATTTGGCTGAGTGAACTTCTGAGCGCGATAAGCTTAATTAAGTGATTTTCTATAACAAACAAAAGAAGAATAACTTTACTAAATAATTTGAAATAGTTGAATGACCGTATAAATAATGGAATCTAAGTTGTTTGAAGATGAATCCTTTCTTTTCTCCGGCATCAGCTAACTGATCTAATAATAACACTCGAGAGTTTATAATTACTAAATTCTCCAAACATCTTGGTACCCAAAATATTAAGTTTACGCAAAATATCCCCACCCATAAAGTGCCTTTTCTATTGATCTGTTTTTCTTCTTCAAGTTTTGAATAAAAAGTCAAGTCAGAGTAGTTGAGAATAATTATAACCCTGCCATCCAACAAGTAGCTGTCAAAGGTTTCCTAAGGGACCTATTTATAATAAGCTAAAAATATCTTTCACCTAGTGTATAAGCAATGGACATGATAAAAATGATACCAAGCGATCTGTTCTCAAGTCGCGGCGGAGCTACATGTATTTAACGGGTATCACCGACACGTCGGAAAATTATACTGTGTAGTTAAGTAATTTTTTTATAAAATATGTATATATACTATTTATTAACACCCCTTGACTTCTTGATGAGTTTATTTATTTATATTTTAACCCCCTTGATGAAAATCTTAGCTCCGCCACTGCTCAAGTGATTACATGACACATAACTCGAGAAATGGTCTAGTATTTAAAAAGCAAAAAGAAAAACCTACTTATAAGCAAGAGAATAACCTGAACCTACATAATTTTTTAAAACTTAAAATAACTTATTCTCCGTAACCAAGTTAAGGCAAGAAAATAAAAATACAGGGGAAAACAGCCGTCACAATACATTAAAAAAGTATCCAATCAGAAACATAGACACAACAAAGTTTTAAAATAAAAAATAAAAACTCATAGGAAGTAAATACAAAAGCAAGAAATTTAAATTTTCATTTCCTTAATACTCAGCAGTAGGCACTTGCTCATGAGAGTGATTGATGAAGAAAAGTTCATAGACAACACCAGCAAGCCCAGCACCAATTATGGGCCCGGCCCAGTAAACCCACTGATGAGTCCAAGTCCAGCTAACAAAAGCAGGCCCAAAAGAAACAGCAGGGTTCATTGATGCTCCATCAAATGGCCCACCAGCAAGAATGTTGGCCCCAACAATGAAACCAATAGAAATTGGAGCAATCACACCTAATTCTCCTTTTTTTGGGTCAATAGCAGTGGCATAAACAGTGTAAACAAGCCCAAAAGTCATCACAATCTCAAATACTAAGGCATTCCATACTGATAATCCAGAACACAATGCAAATGCCCCTGTGCTCTGCATTCATTTTTAACCATGGTAATTATCTTAGTAAAATAATTAACCTAAATTACTCGCCTACCCAACCGTGTAATTTAAAAATAGCTGTTGGATGTATAATATATGTTAATTCATACTATAATATGTGTATAATCATGTATCGTTTAGGAAAAGTAAATAATGAATTCAGTCGGCTCTTTGCGTAAAGATCCTTATTAGTTTATTTTCTTTTTCCAAATTCATAGATGTCGTATGCGAAAGCTGAAGTTTTTTCAAGAGAATTAAAAGAATTAATTAGAAAGCCCAACCAGAGTACTATATATTCCAACTCAAGAAGCTGTCATTCAAATTGTGACTATGTGACTACTAGATATCACTTGGATACATAGTACACACCTTCCGTCCAAAACTATGGTCAGTGTGTCTAACCTTCAGTAAAATTTATATTTTAGTAATTATATGTAAAGTATTATAAATCACCATTTTATAGTTAAAAATAATTTTAAAATATTTAATATAATAATTAATATTAATGCCGAAAATGTGAAGGTAGAATAAGTAGGTGTAGTTTTAATGTCTTATCCGAGCTCAACTTAGTATTAATGCGGGGACAAGTTAAAGTCGCTTTCCATTGAGATACAAAAAGATTTATTTAGTATCTCGTGCAATCCCAAATATCTACCTCATTAAATAATTACTACAAAATCGTGATGTGAGACCATTGTCCTAACTCCTAAATAAGCATATGTTTACATTCTAAACCAGAGATCTGTATTAACAAACAATAACACGAGTCTTCTGAAATGATAGTTACCATAAAAATGGCCCGATGAGAGCTGTTGAACAGATATTCCAACAAAACCGTAACAAGTCTAGCTCTTACCGCGATTAATCAAAACTATATTATATTATCGCTAGCTAAATCGCCATTTCTAGCAAAAGGACCATTTCTACTTTAATCCTACTCCCATTTTTATGCAGACACTTTTTCCTTTTTAGCCTATTCAAAAAGAAAAATACTTTTTATGTTTGAGAATTGTCAACTTTAAATATCTTATTTACGCTTAATTACATGATTTTAAAGCCACAAAAATATTACGACATATTTAAAACTATAAATTTTAAAAATCATGCTTTCTTCTTAATAATTATGTGTCCAATCAATCACTTACCCATAAAATGAAACTAATGGAGTATAATATTTTCCTAATAAATGCAAAAGTTGACAGTTTATTTAGACTAAGCTACATGTGCCCATGTGTTTTTAAACGCTTTTAGAAAAAGAACCTAAAGGATATACACAGCCTTTTCAGTTTGATTACTTCTCTTTACAGTTACAGTTATACAGCATATACGATGCTATGAATGATTGCAAAATCCTTTAGTAGATACTTTTGAAAAATACTTCTATCGGATATAATCACTTTACTTAAAGGATAAGGTTTGCTTACTAATTACACCGGGTTGTTGTATTTTTGAAAATGCAATATATGTACCATTTCGACTTTAGATACTTCTCTTTACAGTTCAAGTACATCATATACGTTTACTCTAGATAGATAAGGAATGGGTGGTCAAAATGATATACTTCTTCTGTCTCAATTTATATGATATAGTTTGGTTTTTTTGTTTGTTTGTGATTTTTCATATACTTTTTAATATTTTGAGTTATTAATTATGTAATTTCTAAGTACTTTTATGTAATTTTTAAATATATAAATTTTATTTTAAAATCTTTAAAATATATTCTATGTGGTTAGCATTAAAAAGTTTAAATTTCGAAATTCTAAGGACAGAGGGAGTAGTAGCCAAATAAGTGCTATAGCACCAAAGATGGAAATCTGAAAATAGCATGAAACTGCACATTTTAATGCTTACCAATCCACCAGTGGCGAACTTAAGGAGCAAGCAAGCAACAGTGGATCCAAGTAACTGTGCAATAATATAGAGAATACCACGGAAGAAAGTGATGTTTCCACCAATAAATGCACCGAAAGTAACGGCGGGGTTAACGTGGCCGCCGGAGATGTTAAAGCTGACGGAGACAGCCACGAAAAGGCCAAAAGCATGGGCTACAGCGGCAGCGATGAGGCCGGCGGGAGTGTTGGTACTGTCGGATGTCAGCTTGTTAAATGCCATGCCAGAACCCTGGCCGGCGAATACGAATATTAGGGTACTTATGAACTCCGCCAACGCCGCTTTGAGAGCGCCCGGCTGGCGGAGTTCTTCATGGGTTCCGATGGTGATTTGGTGGATCGGCATGGCCGGAAAATCAAGATTCAGAGAGAGAAAATTAAGAAAGTATTATCTACTCTGTAGTAGTGTAATAAAGGACTGAAAGGGGAGTGATGCAAAAAAAGGGAATTTGCATGGTTTTATATTGGGAAAATTTGCATGGGTTGTTGGGAAAAGGTTGTAGCAGGTTGCCGGTAAATATACATTCTTATTTGGATAAATCCTTTTTTTTCTCATTCTTATTTAATTACTCCTTTAGCATTTTTTTTTTGTATTTGTCCAGTTAGCGAATTAGATTCAAATTAGAGTAGTGCAATTGATCCAAAGAACTGATTACTAACAAAGCTTAATAAAAGAAATTTGTAAGTGTTAGTCTGATTTTCACATTTCTTTGTCTGCCCCTTTCCTTTTTCCCCATGTAGTAAAAGCCTCTTTCCAGAAAAAGAATTACCAGCCGGACGAATATTGACAGCTAAGAATCACTTCTTGTTTTGATGTGAATTGTTAGTGACATGTGAACGATCAGACTAGGGACCACACCAAATGGGTCCTATTTTGTTTTTTTTTAAAATAAATTCTCATTCGATGTTAACTATCTACTATCTCCTAGTTTGGATTAAATTTGCCGCATAAAATTTATTAAATGAGAAAATGTTTCTTGCCCTAATTTTTTATTTTATTTTCAGAACTCGAACCTAAAATTTCTAATTACAGATATGAAAAATACTATTTATGCGACTACAATGGTATCCTATTCGATAATGACATGAAAGAGTGGGTAAGAGCAATCATGTACCATGGAATGCTCTGGAAGTGGAACTAGGGTTCTTAATCCTTCTTTTGATTGTTACTGTTTTTATTTATATGATAGTTTATAAAACTATTTCAAAATATTAGTTCACGATTTTGCTTACTTTATGACTTTTAAATTTGTAAGAATCCAAAATTTTCTATTGATTGAAAGTTTAAATTCTAATGTTATGTTTTTCAATCAAACTAACTTTTGAATATATTATTAGTAGATATTTTCTAAACTTCTAATAAGCTAATTCATAAGTCAAATCCAATAAAAAGTCGTCATTTATAAAGTTAAACAAGAAGGGCACATTTGTTGCCAAAATATTATTTTTTGAGTAAAATCAATTTTAATTCGTATCAAATCACAATGTATTATTCTGTTTTGTGTTCAAATTTGGATGCTTTTCGTTCTGTTAAACTGATCTAAGGACAAATAAGGTTTTTTTTTTAATTGTTGTTGTTGTTGTGTTGGCAGACACAGTTCATAAATAAATTGACATAATCAAATTTGTAATATAACATGTGTTACGAGTTCGAATTGATCATTAATGTTGTTCAATAAGTCACTAACTTTTGGCCACACACTCGGAGTGCGTTGTTCATAGCCAAGTTGTTCAAGTTTCTATTGCTGCCATGTGTATTCCACGAAAAACACGAGTATGAATATGACCGAAACAAAGAAGGTAAAACAAAAACAACTTTTAGGGTGGATGCAAAATTAATTTTAATTAACAAAAGCATTATAATATTTAAACAAAAATCTTAAAAAGGAGTTAGTTCACATTAAATACTTGAATGATAGAGTGACACGTGGAACCGGGGACAGACGGAAGAAGAAGCGAGTGTAAACCAAGACCGAGGACAAATTCTTCGGTTGGTATCGGGTATATCCCGAACGGAACATTGTTAATGAGGGCAAACGAATATTTGCTACCATATAACATTTAATGAAAAATATTCCTTAATATTGAATTCACGTCTGTTATAGAGAATTTTGGCATTCATTACTTGCCGTTACATATTCATCAATGGCCACAATTATTGTCATTTAAGAAGGGCTTGATCCTAGGACCTTGTTCCCTAGGTATAACTATAAATAGTGACTTCAACAACCATTGTAGGACACGAAAATTCTGACAAACTTATGCTACACATTATTTCAAGCTAAATATTACTTTATTTCTGTCTAACAATATTCTTATAGCTGTCTTCAAAAGCCTTGCTCCCCGAACCAAGCTGTCTGCTATTTTATCTCGATTTCAATGTTAAGTCTTGCATTTTATTTAATTTATTTATCATTTTGGATCAAATCGATTCGCTTGTCTATAAATCACATTATAAATTCAAATGTACCATTTTACGGGTAAATAGTTTGGCGCCCACCGTGGGGCTTAGACAGTTGCATAATTGAGTTGATCCTTGCGTCTATTACTAATCTGTTTGATTCTTTGTTTCTTAGCAAAAATCGTAAAAGATGGCAGATAACGATGTCAACATCACACACAACGTTAAGGCACAAGAAAATCCGCTTCAACACGAGGATTCGATTAGCGACACCCGCAACGAGGATGACGTAGCCACACCGGTTCATGGCAGGCGGTATTCCCGACACGTACATGAGGCGACTCCTGATTATTCTGAAAACGAGAACGTTGCAGAAACAGTGAGGATCCTAAGAGAACAACAAAAGGCTATCATGGGCCATCTCTCATGGAAAGACCAGGCCATGACAGAATTGAGGCAAGCGCTGTCGAGTGCCTCCAACATTGCGAATGGAAGAGGTCCAGTTCTTCCCGGTGCTCCCGCAAATCAAACAGCACAAAGGGTTGGTAGCAACATCCCGACGGGTGAGGTCGACTTCGATAGGGCCGGAGGGATCGACAACGGATCTGGTAACAATAACGGTAATGATCCTTTCAAAACCGAGCCCATGCATTTTATGAGGGAAATAAATGCTCGAATGAACCAAATTTTAGGTGCACCCCCAGTGCTGAAGGGCCCGGACTCAAAGAAAAATACCTAGTTGCCGTTTAAACCGATCACAGCACCAGAGTTGATTTCGAAGCAGTTCAAAATGCCAGACGTACTAAAATATGATGGGACTTTGGATCCTCAGGAGCACATCGCCACCTATACAACATCGGTGAAAGGAAACGACTTAGCTCCACGCGAGATTGAGTTGGTCCTGCCTAAGAAGTTCAGAGAATCCCTCAAATATGGGGCTCTGACATGGTACTCACTTTTACCCGAGCAATCAATAGATTCCTTTGAAATGCTCGCAGACTCTTTCATCAAGGCCCATACCGGGGCCAGGAAGGTCTAGGCCCAGAAGGCGGACATATTCAGAATTTCACAAGAAGAGTCCGAGTTGCTATGCGAGTTCGTGATCGGGTTTCAGAAAGAAAGGATGCTGCTACTGGCCGTGCTAGACGAATGGGCAGCTGAGGCATTTACTAAAGGGATGAACTCGAGGAGCTCTGATGCCTCTCAAAAACTGAAAGAAAGCATGTTCGAGTTCTAGGCAACTACATGGGCAAATGTCCATAGCCGCTACGAATCAAAGATAAGAATTAAAGATGATCAACTCGGGTTCCCGGCATAAACTAAGGGTCGGGATCGAGAAAAGAATAAGGATAAGTCGAAGGATGATTTAACGCAGATTAGCGATCTTCTAAGGGCCGGTTTTTTCCCTTTGAAAGGGCTGAAGGATGTGGCCGAGAGTTCCGTTCGTCGGATAGGTTCACGCCCGATAGAAGAACTGATCGTGGCTGGAATATCAAGTCATTACAAGATAAAGAGGTGTCAGGCTCCCGAGATTCCACCTATCCCAGACTGTCCTAGTATAATTTCAATGTCGGCGTAGTGGAATTGGTATCAGCGATGAGGAACATTAAGGAAGAACGGTTCCCGAGGCCGATGAGATCTGATCCCAACCAAATGGATCCTAATCTATGGTGCGAGTATCACAGTACTAAAGGCCATCGAACTGGGAACTAACTACATCTGCTCGAGGAGGTGGCGACGTTGTTGAAAAACGGCCATGTCAGAGAGTTCTTAAGCGAACGGGCCAAAAATAATTACTGCCATAACTGGGATAACGTAGAGACCTCGAAGATAAGTGAAGACCATCCCCAACAGACCATTAACATGATTTTTGAGGGAAACGAGATCAACAGTGTGACTTTCTCGGCATCAAAAAAAGACGAAGGTGTCATTAACTCATAGCAAGAGACTTCGGGAAGTCACCGAGGACGACATCACATTCACAGAAGAGGATGCTGATGGACTTCTACTGCCGCACAACGATGCCCTGGTAATTTCTCTTAACGTTCTAGATTTTAAAATTAAACGTGTTTTGGTGGACCCAGAAAGTTCAGCCAATATCATTCAATAGAGAGTGCTGGAGCAAGCCAAGCTAACCAGAAGCATCATTCCGGCCACAAAGCTTATCGCCGGATAGTAAGTGTAACAACCCGATGGGAGATCCTGCTACCAACAAACACTGAAGGGGTCATGAAGACTACCTTGTTTGAAGTAGTAGATGGCGACATGGGCTACAACATAATTCTTGGCAGACCGTGGCTACACGAGATGAAGGCCGTGCCATCAACATATCACCAACTTCTGAAATTCCCAACTCCAGAGGGAATCAAATAAATAAAAGGAGATCAACCGGCGTCAAGGGAGATGAACACGATCTCGATTTCTAGCAGTAAAGGGAAGGAACACGCGGCATAGCAATTACAGGAACTGATGCCCGCTCTCGAACCAAACGAAGATGACAAAGAGGAGGAGTTGTCGGAATTCTATCAGGTACCAAGGTATTTCCAGGTGCCGAAAGAAACGGACGCAACCAAATCCACGGCGGAAGATATTGAACAAGTGACATTGTTCGAAAAGTTCCTAGAGAGGAAGTTTCACTTAGGGACAAGATTAAACCCTGAGCTTAATTCAGGATTTATAGAATTTTTTAAAACTAATGTTGATTGTTTTGCATGGTCGCACGCAGATATGATAAGTATCCCGCTAGAGGTGGACGTGCACAAGTTAAGCCTGGACCCAGCATCCCTTCAGTAAGGCAAAATAAGCGCCCAATCGTCGAGGTCAGAAATAGGTTTGTCAAAGAAAAGGTAACTCAACTGCTCGATATCGGTTCAATCCGTGAGGTAAAGTATCCCGACTGTCTAGCTAACGTAGTGGTAGTTCCAAAAAAGAATAATAAATTCCGCACGTATGTAGATTGTAAGGATCTGAATAAGGCGTGCCCAAAAGACTCGTTCCTATTGCCAAACATGATCAACTGATTGATGCAATAACCGGACACGAGTTGA